ACGCCTGTCACAATACATATCGAATTCGAGCAGTACCAAATTTTAGCATAAGCATGGTCGGTAACTGAGGTCAAGCAATAAAAAAAGGGTTTATATTCAATCCGATTGATCTCAGACAACCAAACAACGGATTATAAAATTGCGCCACATTTATTAGTTCCCACAAATGAACCGATGAGACCTGAGCACCTTCCACTATGCCAGAAATCAGAATAGCTTGGTGGCTTCACTTTTGTTCACCATGTGCTGACTCACCATCACCCCTCCCGCACTCCTTTCCGTCATTCAGCACTTTCACCATGACAAGCAACTCAAGACAGACAGCTAGTGACTCAGTACGAAGACCAGCTACAATCGACTCAACGGTAGAGAGAATAAACAGAATACACAAGGACACCCTGACAATGGTGGGTACTAGGGGAAGTTGGGGCAATGCCGGAGTTGGGGCAAAGCCGAAATTCGAGATATTTCGAAAACCGTAAAACATGGATGCCACCTGTCAGTGATGCTCTGAAGCTTAAGTGACTACAATTATCGCATGTTTGTTAAGAGTCGTCATTCGGAATACTTCGACTGTGAGGGCGCCAAGAGCGTTTTCAAGGTACGTTTCCCTTGTACTACATGCGCCTTTGAAGCTGCATTTTTTACTCATTATGCTACCGTTTGTCTGGCCAATTCGGTCAAGTAATCTTTAGCATGTCTTTGCATAAGTGTGCTGCCTATTTGAAATTTATACAGCACGTTGAAAAGTTATGGGCCTGCAAATGAAAGTATGGCTGGCTGGGGTAATGCCGAAAACGTGCGATTACGCACGTGTTAAAAGCACGCTACGTGGACTTTACTGCTGTAGAATAGCAACGCGTATTTTTAGTCACACAAATTACACTTTCAACCGACACAACGGCCTGTTACCTATAAGGAATGATTTACCTGGCATTTTCTTATTATATCACACAATTATAACTTCCAGTGTGCACCGCGTCCTCAAGCTCTTGAAACGTGTGTCAGCTTTGATGAATTCTGGATAAAGTTTGAGATAAAATGGCAAAACATCAATGTCGGCATTCCCCGTAGATCATTTCTCCCATTTTCGGCTTTCCCCGCAGTCCGGGGCAACGCCGAAAAAGTCACTTCTTTGATATTTTTAGTTTGTGCGCTTAACGGTATGCGAATTCATCAAATGCGCCTGGTATGTTTGAAAGGCAAAAGACTGGCCTCTCGAATGATGCCAACAAGAATAGCGTATGTTGTCTACCTTGCGTGCTACGGGCGTCAGAAAAAAGTCTTCGGCGTTCCCCCAACTTCCCCTACACTGTAGAGTAGAATTCGCTCGATAAATGTACCTTGGCGACACGACGTTTTGGATTTGTTAAAGGGACTATCCCACCTTCTAAAATGTTGTTAAAACCAGTTAAATTGTGCCCGACTTTATAGATTGGATGACCAGGAACACGGTTCTGGCCTTTATCTTTCATTAAACATCTTAGGCTTCCCATATTCCAAACACAATCTTTCAAATATGTGACGTCACAGCCCAAAATTACCTCCTTCCCCAGGCCACATTACTGTCATAAAGCTGATTCTTTTTACTCTGTAGGCACGACAACAAAGTTCAGACCAAGTTTTAAGCGATTTTTCAACGAACAAACCCATTTAAATCAGAATGACTAAACGAGGTGACGTCACACTAACGGTCGCTCCATGTTGAAGATAGGGCCTTGTACAAGGCCCATTTTCAAATGAAGGGAACGAATTTCTTCAACACCAAGAGGCCGCGGGGGTTGCAACCTAGATAGATAGTGGTTTCTGAACCTCGCCGCTAACTTGGCTATCTCAACTCAAACCCCATGTTAAAGGTTAAACAACCCTTTAAACGGTTGCTTTATTTACCGGGGTCAGTTATTTTCACGAAAAAAGTGTATCACAGCAGTACCGGTACGTTCCGTTCCCCTTGCAATGGGGAAGACGTGACTGAAAACTGCCGAAAACTTTCACCTTGTGGCTTCATCAAGCAGAGTAGCTGGATTTTTAAACCTTAATGAACATAAACTTTTATGTAGAAAATCCGTGGACAGCTCAAGTGGCCACAATAAGTGGCTGGACTTATTTTCCGTGGATTTATCAAGCGGATTCTACGGTATAATACTGAACGAGGCTGGTGTACATAAATCATTTTTTAAGACCGAGGTCCTTACCGGATTTTCAAACAAAGCCGAAGACCGAGTTCGAAAATCAGAAGGACTGAGGTCTGGAAAATTCATCTCCGGCCGAGTTATAACAGTTTACATACTCTGCACGATGTCTGCCCGTGTGTGGAGTGCTCCCGTCCGAAGGCGAAAAAAGCAAGCATGTTCTAGGATTGTAAGTCTGATAGCTTTTGCATGTTAATATTAGAAGAAAAGACATCACCTTACGATATATATTGTAGAAGCTTATTTCAGTTTATAACATAAACGCGTCAGTCTCCACAACAGACTTAGCAGTGATATTGCATTTCATTTTATTCGCCTGACACCCCTTGCGAATAAAATTACGCGACATCAGATCGATGAAGTGTTCGATCTCATCACGAGGCTGACTGCGGACCATTCTCTTACTACCGGCTACTACTTACTGTCTAGACTTCAATGCATGTTATGCTATCACTTGCCAGTTGCCATCTCAGTCTGCTGCGATGCGACGCCCGCTATCTCCGTTGCTCGGAGCGAAACCGTGATGCAATCGGCTGCATGACCTTGGTCTGACCCGACGGCGCCAGCGCCTCATCGGCACCGACGATGCTCCGTCCCCAGCGACGCAATTGTGTTGCATGTTGGTCAGTTTGGGTGTGGTGTCGGGGGTAAACGGTCTTGGGCGTTGGCGGACTGTGAGCAGATTGCGGTGATTCAAGATTGCTTCACTTCTCTACTTTACTTCTCTGTTACTTTCCTACGGTAGTGATTGGCAGCCGAGAGAATATGGAAAACGAGTTTGGGAAATAACTGAAACAATGTGATCGTGCCTATAAACTGTGGACTCCATATACTCCATAGACATAGGACATAGAAGAAAGTCAAGCAGTCTACACACACAATGCCCGGCTATAGAAAACTACGGTGGTTTCCAGAGTTCAAGTAACCTACTGCGTCAGCAGCGTCTACCTGACCACAGCGTCTACCCTGACCACCCCTGGGATTCTCCTGGGTGGTTAGACAGTCATCCAGGCAGACCTTGGTGGATACCGGATTCCAAGATTACCCTGATTCATCATCCTGAACGCATCTTCACCCGCCTACATCAACGTTCACCATGTCTTGGTCAATGGTAAGGCATCAGCCAACAACTACTCAACCGCCTCCCTTGGGATCAGCCTACCTCTCTTCTAACCAGACCGCCTTCAAAGAATCTCGAGGCTTTGGGCTCTCACCGCTGCTACCACCGACCGCCATCGCTGGATGTCCGCGGGGTCTTGAACCAGTCATCGTCGCCGAAGAGTTGACCATCGACCGCCTCGCTGAATACGAGTACCTAATTCGAACCGCCTCGGGGCAAATCCTCTTCAGCGCGTCTATTGACGTGGCCTTTTGCAATTTCTGCGGGTTGGTCAACCTCTGTGGAGATGGCCCGGTGTATCGACTTGCCGTCGAAGACCTCGAGAAGAGAGAAGTCCTCGCGTTGTCTACTCCAGAAACAAGCCGTTACGGCACCCTGACGAGATGTTTATGTCTAAGAGAATATGATGTCACTGCCGGAGGATTACCGATAGGGGCAGTAACCCAAGAACGAGGCTGCTTCAGATTCGATACAAAGGTTGTTGTGCGAAGCGCAGACGGTGATACGAAGCTCTTCATCACGGGACCGGACTGCGATTGGGGTTGGTGCTGTCACTGTGGCGCGGATGTTGTCTTGCCCGTGATAGGCGGCGACGGTCAGAGGGTAGGTTCGGTTACGAAAGTTTATAGAGGCTTTAGGAACGAGGCTCGCAGTAGGACTAAGGTGTACCGCGTCCAGTTCCCGCCGGGTCTCGATCCGAGCACCAAGGTCACCTTGTTTGGGGCGGCTTTTGTGGCAGGTCATACGTTCTTTGAAAGCAGCGAGGAGAGCACATCAATTTCAAACGAAACTGGATAGAACTTCGTGGCGGTGCCGCGATGATGTGCTTTTTGTGTCAGGTGTTAGGCAGCTGTGTGATGATTAATGTGGCATACCATGAAGACCTAAAGCATTGAAAATTCACGTAATGATTCCGCCGGCGGGCATAATCTGAGAAAACTAATTTCCGAAGCAAATGTGATGCTTATGCAATATGCATGTCCGTAGGAGAGCTTTTGACGGAACATTACTGCTCAGCTTTATTCAGCTTCATGTACGAGTATCTGTTTTCAGTTTAGGTACATCGCTTTATTGAAGAGTCCACTCGTAAAATATCTCATTCGGAGAGCCTCTAGCATTTTAGGAGTCCTACATTCTCATATTGTCCTTTGTTTTCGCAGCTATAAAATAAGATGCCTAAATGGGAGCAGAGAGATATGGAGGCATTCAATCCAATCATATGTCCTCGCAGTATGACAACGATATGATCTTTTTGTAGCCGGGAGGACGCTGCTTCGAAATTCAACAGCTGTTTGCTGTCGTATACTTATTGGACATTTAGTGGATGTTGATGCCTGTAGTGTTTATGCATGTAATCGATGCCAACCAAGGATATAACAGGCTTTGAACATGAGAATGATGAATAAGACAGAACCAGAGGAAAAAGAGTCTCTGCTCTCGTCAGATCCAAATTTTCTACGATTGTTCATGTTATCATCCGATGGCTTGACGAAGGACATGTTCCCCAGCATTTTACCTACAATTGCGCATACTAAAATTGGATCACCTCCATACGAATCCACAACAAAATCCGTTGGACTGTGGACATAAGAAAATTTCGCCACCAGCTGGGTTGGTTTCTCACTAGGTCAAACAATAACAAAGTTTGCATTTGATCGAACTGACTTCTACGACAGCCAAACACCGGGTTATAAAATTGTGCCACGTTTATTAGTCCCACGAATGAACTGATGAGACCAGTACACACCATAGCTTCATGGCTGCATCATTGTTCGTCATGCGCTGACTCACTAGCTGCCATTACCCTTCTGTACCCCTTTTGCCAGTCAGCATCATCATCATGACAAGCAAGACTCAGGTAGACGGCTATTGACTCAGTACGAGGGTCAGTCACAATGGACTCAAGAAAATACACAGAATATACACAAAGACACCGTGACAATGCCAGTACAGGAAAGGAGTACGTAACAGTCAAACGCCAACGACATCAAATACCGGCAAACACTTTCTGGTCTAAGCATAGGGCGTTTCAAAGATGTGCTCAGCATCTAGCTTCATGATCATGCTATTTATTAGGACAATCTCTTTGTAAGCTGATTGACGCACCAAAAGTACAACACGTGCAGGGCTTGGTAAGTAAACGAGGCCCTCAGTACGTCCAACCCACGAGCCAAATTTTGTTCAGCCATTAGCATTCTTTCAAGCGCTAAGCTGAGCGAGACTCTCCTTGATTGCCCCGCCAAGCATGTTTGATCCCTCGGCGTTGGCGCTGTAGTAGGGCAGTTCGCTCTGCAGACGGGTCAGCCAGGCGTTGATGCGCGGCCACCGGTCATTGCCCAGAAGCCCAGCCGTTGCTAGTGTGGAAATGTGAACCAGAACCGCCAGGTCGGCCAGGGTAACTTTCTCGCCGGCGACGTTCTTCGATAGACCCAGGAAGGTTTCCAGCAGGTCCAGGCTCTCGTCCAGCTTGGGCTTGTTCTTCTTGTACTCGTCTAGGCTCTTGGTGAACAGCAACGGGAACTGTGAACAGGGGATGAGATGCTGGTTATGCCTAGAGCCAGAGTCCCAGAATTGTAATTCGGTTGGGGTGTCAGAGGGGAAAATTTCTCAACAAAAGGGGATAAGAGTGGAAATTCGCCGGTAGGATAAGGCCCAAAAAGAGTGGAAAAGGATCCAAACATAAATTTCTAAACAAGTGTGTTAAAATTTAGGGTGAAAAATGGACATTTTTGCAAATTCTTTTCTTAGTAAAATTGAGAGTAGAAGTTGTTCTTCAAAATTGGAGGTGAGAGTGAAAATTTATTTTCTCACGGATGTAGTTTCTCAGCCAAATCAACTAATTTTTGGACACGGGTAACAGCTGTTCACAAACGCTGCTATGTAGAGGATGATCATGTTGCCAATAAAAATTGCTGTAGCAGAGCTTTGTTTAGCCCATAACCATAATTTTATGTATCTTCTTATTGTACATATTACAGAAACAAAATTTTGACGTATTCCCTCTCGAAGCTGGCTAGCAGAACTCAATGATCACCATTGGCATGTACAGCAGGGCTGCGGAGTCGGAGTCGGAGTCGACAGCTATGGCCGTAGTCGGAGTCGCAGTCGGAGTAGGTTTTTGGAAGCCCAAGTCGGAGTCGAAGTCGGAGTCACTGAAAATCCATCGACTCCGCAGCCCTGGGGCCTCGTTTCATAAAGCGAGCCCGTAACTTACGCCGGTTTTTGGTGTTGTATTGCAAGTGCATGTGAAGCGATACATTTATTTCCCCTTCTCCCTTTTGTTCTTGCATGCACCATAAATAGATTCAACGATTCAAATTCACGTCATCGCTTCACATGCACTTGCAATACAAGACCAAAAACCGCCGTAAGTTACGGACTCGCTTTATGAAACGAGGCCCTGGACTGCACAGTGCACGGATTCTGTTCTCCAACTTACCGCAATGCCACGGAAGTTGACGTTGAGACCGGAGTCGAAGTGGAGCCTCTGGTCGACCTTGGCTCGCTCCGCCGGGTCCTTGGGGTACAGCTCACTATCCGGCGCGTACTTGTCCACCAAATACGTGATAATAGCCTTGCTGGAAATGGGAAGAAAATAGTGATCAGTCGCGTCTGATGTACTTTGAGAATTGAGAGGATACGGGATTTCCGTATACAAAGCCTACGCTCGCCGAAGCAAGTAATTGGCCGGGTGTGATATACGATTATTCTACGTAGCGTTGTGTAGTCAAAACAACTCAGAGGGAGGCCGTGTAATATATCGTCTTGACACGTAAGCGCCAAATCATCTCATGCTTTCGGCTTCCGTTTACGTTCCGAAACAGGCTAGTGATTTGCTAACACAGCACAGTCTAGCCATGAATCAATTTCACGCTCTAGCAAACTTAATGTAAATAACCATAGCAAACTAAGCGAGATCTGTATCACATTCGGGGCCTCCACACATACCTTTCTCCCAAATAGAGATCACCATCTTTCATGGTGGGTACCGTATGCGCCGGGTTCATCTTGAGAAACTCGGGTGTGCGAGTACCTCCAGCCTTCATGTCCACCCAATGGTAGGTATAGTCTAGTCCGATCGCCTTGGCAACCAGGAACACGGCCCGGCACGGCGGGCTGCCCTGCACACCGAAAATCTCCACACCCATGGCCTGCGGAAAGAACAGGAAATTTTATATGAGGGGTATGAGCAACGCTGTGTCATCTCACATGTTGGGTGGCTTCACATAGTTTCGGTTGACACTCCGCAAGAATGTGGGGAAACGTTTGCATTACTGAAAGGCAAAGGCATACAGTTTGTAGTGTAGTGCCCCTCCTCAAGCACCCCGCGGGATGGCGGCGGCTGCCGGAGTCGGCTGGGCCTCTGACCTTTCAATGTCACGCCTGGCCGGGGGGCTAGGGTGACCGGTCGGCCGCGCCGGGCCGGGCGTCTGGTGCCCGCCGGCGAGCCGTCGGCTGGCCGCTGGTCACCGCAATTACAAGTTAAAAAGTAAATTGTAAACTTAGTCCTGAATTTCTGCGGGCGTGGTGTTTGAGGATAAAAGTGTAATACATAGTACATACACTACACAATTATTTATGACACTTCGGTCATTTAGAGACACGTCGGTCTTCACACTTCAGACTTCAGACTTCTAACTTCTAATGTATTCGTATCAGACTTCTAATGTATTCATTTCATTTCTTGTTTACTTGTTTGACTTTTCTTGGTTGGAGCTCGGTATTACTTTCAGTCGCTGCTCGATATAATGGCCAGGACTAAGCTAACATGACAAAAACGGGTGGGGGATGGTGCCTAGTGATAGGCAGTGGGCCTTTGTGCCATCTCCCCATAACACCACTGTCGTCAACTTTGTCTCTAAATAAATGGTTGTTGTTGTTGTTGTTGTTGTTGTTGTTGTTGTTGTTGACGCAACGTGTAATATTGTTTGTTTGTTTATTGGGACTTTAGGGAGCGCCGATGGCGGCGACTACAAGGTTATTTGGCGCCCATGACGTAATATTGCATGCCATTTTATTACTCCCTTGCGAACACAGATACCTATCACAATTAAGAAGCGTTCCGTTTCATACGCTATGCCTGAACATTATTGACCACAAGTCTCTACATTTGTACATACGAGTGCATCCACTTCACACTACAGCCTGTCGCAATATATTTCTAACCGTATCGCCCCTGAGTAAACGTCGGAAGATTGCGGCGGCGTCAGTAAGACCAGTTGATCCGCCATGGTCAGCAAGGTAAAAACGCCAAGTCACCATGACTTCGCGATGGCTATTACAGGATGCGCCTCGCGAGCCCAGTGTCCTTGAGATGGCGTGCATGCCGCCCTCGACAGCGGGCTCCTTGGGATTAGCGGATGTAGATGGTGCCTCTAGGAAGCGCATTTCACGTCTTAAAAATGAAAGAATGTAATCACGAGATAACAACGAATTGCGTTAGCAGATTGGGTTTTACGTTTTTGTCGGCCGTGTGGTCATTGGCACACATAAAAATGCATACCGTAAGGTGGGGCTATTTGAGACAGTGGGGCTATTTGAGACAGTATTTAAAATTGCTATAAAATAAAAACTATTTAAAATTTATGCTTAATTTTTGCTCAGACGATTTACTGCTCGATTCCACACCTCTCTGAGCAAAAATATCACACAAAAATCAAACGATCTTCATTTTATAGCGATTTTAAATACTGTCTCAAATAGCCCCACTGTCTCAAATAGCCCCACTTTACGGTAAGCATCTTAACCCTATTCCTGGCGGGGGGCCTCAGGAGCCCCCCTGAGGTTTTTTGGTTATTTCTCCCAAACGCGTTGAGCTAGGAAGCTCAAATTTTCTGACTTTTCCTAAAAGGCTTCTACGCAACATGTCTGAAAATTTTGAGTTGATCTGACCTCAGGTCAGGTCACCAGAGGCGGTTTGGTGACCCTACCTCAGAAAAGTTTGCAATCACGCCAGAGCTAGAGTTTTTGACCGATCAATTTCTTCTCTTTAGGCTTTAGTTAGGGTACCAATATGTGCAATTTGTATATCTCGGAATTTTGATATCGGTGACCTAAGGTCAGGTCAGTTTCGCGACCTCCCCATTATAAGTCAATGGGGGAAAAATCAACTCCCTGTTTTTACCACTAAAACGGGTCGGAATGGCCCCATATACCATACATGACTTCATATACGATCAACCTTCACTACCTTGAGGTCTGTTTTGCTGTTGGGCAGCTGTGAGGTCATGTGACGTCATCAAAGGTCACCAAAGGTTTTTGGCCAATAACTCCGTACAGGAACAAGATACAGCCGCGCGGATGGTCTCATTGTGTTCAGCTCGTCAAGACGCATCGAATGATATACATAATGACCTCGAGGTCACGTGACCTGAGGTCAACCTTTGACCTTGACCTTTCGAGGTCAACATATATATCATTCGATGCGGATTGACGAGAGGATCACGATGATGCCCTTAGTTTGTTCCTATCTTGACTAATTCGAAAGTTATTCGAGAAAAACTCTCCATATCTAGCGCCGCCATTTTGACTTTTTCGACCCCTGTGACGTCATCTTTGACCTGACCTGAAAATGACCTTAGTAAAAATTGTAGATCTTGACCGTGCGTATCCGATGCCGTTTACCGTTTGTCGCTGCGATGTGTAGTTTTTGAGATCTGAAGGGGGGGCCGAATCGCCCCCCCCCCGCCAGTTTCTTGTCCCGGCGGAGCCCGCCAGGAATAGGGTTAAAACTTGATAAAACTTATTCGAACTCTTCTGAAAGCTGTAGCTTTAGCCAATTTCTTTCCTTTTATACAGGATGAGACCAATTCGTAAAAAAGATAGGAAGCATTACATTCATTGAACGACTCACGGCCTACAAGAAAATTTTATTCCAGCTCACGCGACACCCAAAACATCCACATACCTGTTTGTTGCGCGCACCGTTCAGCTCCCTCCGAAGTTCCGCCACGCAGCTCGGTGAAGCGCCGGCACTGCGCGCTGCCCCTCGTCCGTCGACCAACTCCACACTGTCTGCTGCCGGCGGTGCTAGTCATTCCGCGTCCACCGCCGCCGTCGGCCGAGTCACCGCCAAGGTCACACCTGCGATCGTTCCTCACTCCGCCCCCAGTGGGGGTGAAGCGGGCGGAGGGAAAGGATCAGAAGTACGTCAGTTCTAGAACATGCCACAACGAAAAGTGATGAATGTGCATGAGTTGCTACAATCCAACAAACAGGTAGGTACTGAATGGCAGCGTGGCACAGAGGGCAGTAGTGTCTACATTCAAATACATTACTGTATTGAAAGTGAGGTCATTTAGATGTGTTGAATACATGTGTTGAATACAGGGAAAAAATCAGAATAAAAAACACCGCACTTCGGGTAAAGGTCGAGGGAACGACAAAGCGAACCCTTTCCCCCCATACAAAAAGTACCTACCATGTTATACCATCCACTCGTTATCGGCACCTTAGAAAATACTGGAGGTAGTGGTAAAGGCGTGTGTGAAAAGGTGTGTTCAGATCAAGCTATGGTGGAGACCCGGTTTGCAGGTACCGCGTAATCGATATTCATATTTTCGATCGCTTCGAGCTGCATGATCCGACAGGTACATAAATGACCATCAGAACGATTCCAGTCACTGATTGTTGAGTTCTGTGAAACTGGTTAAAGGAGTTATGTTTACACATGACCCCTCCTGCATAAGGTACTTGCATATAATTGACGGTTTAAGCGGACTTCAATGGAATCCTCTTACTGCATTAGAAGTTTCAGATGCAGTGGCGGTTCGCCCATTAAGGCAACTCAGGCAGTGCCTAACCAGAATTTTCTGGGTTAGATTTCTGCTTTTTTGTTTTGTTTTTTAAATTAAAAATATTTTTCCCAATGATTTTAGTGGTTTGATAACATATAGTTACCCTGCTAACCCAACATTCAACTCATGCACGTATTATTCGCTATAATTTTAATGCAGCCTAGTGTGCAATAATTTAGCTGCCTCATTTGCCCGCAAGGGCACCTCCGGGTGTAGGGGAGTTGCGCCCCTTCGGCCCCAGCACCCCGAGGGGCGTCGGTTCTTTCCAACTGGCGTAACGGGTGTAGCAACCCCGTTCGTCCCAGCCCCCTTCGACATCCTTGTCTTCCCTCTGCCTATCATCCCATTATCTCGCCTTCTCACTACCTTTCCTTTCATGGTCGGAGGCCCTTCCCCTGTTTTACTGGCTTCGCCGTGCCCTCGGCCCAAAGACCGGGAAGAGGATGTCTGGGTGTTGAGGGAGCTGCCCTGCGGGTCAGTCGGGGCAGCCTTCCAACACACGTTTTTGACGCCAATCCCCGGATCTGCGGGATGCCCCGTGTCGGCCCCGCACGCGGGAAATCGGCCGGTCAGGCGTCGTCCTGTGCGGCACTGGCTCATTGAAGTCAAGGGGGCCGGGCGACGGGTATGCGGGGGGCTGCCGCTGGGTGCAGGGGCCGCCTGGTCCTTCAGCGTGGGGCTTAGCGCCGCCGAGGGGACTTGCCCGCGTGGGTCCTGGTCCGGTCTCGCGCGGCCTGGCTCTGCGGTGGTTGCGGCTCACGCGGCCTCGTACCCGGCGGCTTCGGCTCGCTGCTTTTGGCGTTCCGGTCCCCGTATAGTCCTGCGGTACTCTTGGCGGACCACCACCCTCCGGGGGAGTGTGGCCGTCCTCCAGTTGGGCTCCGAGGTGGGTGGGAGGCCGCGGGACTGAACCTATCAGCTACTTCATGGATACCTCAAACCCCCCTTTACGGACCACGGCTTCGGCCGATGCTCGCCCTCAGGCACGATCCGAGGGGCAAGGCTCACCGGATAGAGTAGACCAGACCCATGACCCGAGACCCTCGGCCGTGACTGAAACCAACCCCACTGCCTTACACGATGTTGACTTCAACCAGTCTGACGGACTCACACTGTCTGGAGGGACGAGTGTGCCCCCAGACGTGCTACCAGAGTTCCTGGTAGTTCGCTCCGCCGAGACCGACCAATCGGGCAGGCAGCGTCCCTTAACCCGCGCCCCACTGGGGTCTGCGTATAACACGCCCTACTGGGGGGGGGGGGCTATTCATAGCCCCCCCCCTCCTAACTCCGAAACTACTGGGCCGATCGTCAAAATTCAAACGGCGTCTGATAGCCCCGGAAAAACTGTCGAGCGAAACCTAATTTCATTGACCTCGAGGTCACCGATGACGTCACAGGTCAGGTCAAAGCAAAAATTATTAGCATTTTGGCTTCTTCACGTTTTGGGCTCTGGCCGCCGTCTTACAAGTCAGATCAGGCTCATTTTTGGTTCACACACTCGTGAACAGATGCTCTAGATACTCTGAGGGTACCAAACTTGTACTTTGATTTTCAGGTCAAGGTCAGGTCATCACAGGTCACGAAAATATTATATCATCCGTCGGTCACGTGACACATGTTTTATGGTCCATTTAGGCCAAACATTTCGAATTTGATGTCATCTGTGTCATTCGAGGTCATTTTGAGTCAAATTTAGCTTAGGTCAGGTCACTTTCAGGTCAAAAAAGGTCAAATTTTGAAGTTAAAATTTTTCAACAAAAAGGTGTCTATTGGATGCAGTTTGAGCTCAGGAACACGATGGTGCTATTTATATTAGCGTACGATGTCAAATTCGTGCTGAAAAATTGATTTGAAAAATTAATAATTTTTAATTTTTTGCAATAATGCGTATAACTTCGCCATTTTTGAAGATATTTAGCTAAAACTTGCTAGAGTTAGTCATAATAATGTGTTCTATCACATATATTCCGGTTTTTTCGAAAAGTCAAACTTTTTTTGAAAAAAAATGTAAAAATATAAAATTTGAATTTTATAATATAAAATTTTCGAAATTTTCAAAATTTAGAAAATCCGAGATAGCAGTTTGATAGCGCAGTCTATTCTGAGTCCTCTCATGCAAAGAAATTGGATCTAGCTTAAAAACTGAGCTCTTGGGAGCGAATGCCGTGGTTCAATGTTTTGCGTCGAAATCGGCCGAACATGACGTCACTCTGACGTCATTTCCGGCCGACCTATGGTAGGTACGAAGTTCAAATTTTGACACAAGGTGTCAAATTGATGCAGCCGAAGGTACTGAAAGTTTGGCGTCGATACGTCAAGCGGTTTGGAAGTTATTGCAGAAAAACGGGAGGGGGGGCTATAAATAGCCCCCCCCCCCCCAGTGGGGCGCGGGTTAAAGTTGAATCCCTTTCAACGCGTGCAGGCCCTCTCAAAGTATGGGAACCCAAAGCAGGTTATCTTGCGAGCGGACGGATCACTCGAACTACAGATAAGCGAGCTGGAAGCTCTGTGGTCGTTCCGTGACACGTGGAAGGAGCCGCAGGAGCTGCTGAAATACATGATCCGGATGGGACTCGCCACATCATTTCCTGAAACATACAGGCTCCTGTACCTCATCTTAACAATCAAGCCAACCACAGTGACGGAAGAACGTTCCTTCTCGGCGCTCCGGCGTCTCAAGACGTTCCTGCGCTCTACGATCGGCCAAGACCGTCTGAGTCACTTGTCCACTATCAACATCCAGTCAGAGCTGGTCGTCTCCCTGGAACGCTCTGGCGAGCTGGCCGAGCGTGTGATTGAGAAGTTCGCGCAGCTCAAGGAGAGGCGGATTGATCTGCTGTATCGCTGAGAGTAAGGTGTCCCCAGTCTGATCCTAGACCGTCTTTAATTTGATTATCTTTGAAGACAGTAGATCTCTTCGGTGTGCAACTCACGCAGCTATGATCGTATATATATATATATATATATATATATATATATATATATATATATATATATATATATATATATATATATATATATATATATATATATATATATATATATATATATATATATATATATATATATATATATATATATATATATATATATATATATATATATATATATATATATATATATATATGTGTGTGTGTTACAGGCAATGTGTGGAATCAGGCATTCTATAGAATGCCTAGGCATTCTATAGAATGCCTGACCGACCAGGCATTCTATAGAATCCCTAGGTATTCTATAGAATCCCTGACTGCTTAGGCATTCTATAGAATGCCTGGCTTAAGCTCCCAGGCATTCTATAGAATGCCTAAGTATTTTGATTGTCCGAAACACACTTCGAAAATTAGGGGTCAATGGCAGTAATGCTATTTGTTTACCTAATTTTCATTGTTGGCCTAGGCCGGTCGTCACCTCACCATTTCAGGGCAATGAGCTGAGAGGAAGCGAGGGAGGTATTGGGCTATGCCGACCACCAAATGGTGCGCCGCAAGCAGCAGCTGATCCAATTCCGTTGGCACGGGAGAGCCACGGCGCAAGGCACGCGGGAGAGTCACAGGCCAACTAGTCGCTTAAACGGTTACCCTCGGAGGATTATGCTGCTACAGATACGAAGCTGCATTAGAAGAGTGTTGGCTGGGAGGGTGGACCGTAGGCTTGAATCGAAAGTGATTGCGAATGACGATGGCTTTGTTCTGATGTTAGAAATGAAGGTGAAAAATACACCAAAGGTCACATTTTATGTCGTCATAAGCACTTCGTGTAACGACTCTCAATATACATACATGGACAGCTCAACCTACACCGTAATGTCAGGGAATAACCTGAATAAATGGTTCATTATTCCACGTCTGGGCGGTGGCCCGGCCGTAACAAGAGCCGGATTAGGTGTTGTTCGATCTCCCCTTCCAGCTTGACTTCTGGGCCATGCGGTATTCGAAAGGTCGTCAAAGACTCAAAATTATGAAATTTTACTTCAGTTCTTCTTTGGCAATGTTCGAAAGGGTGCCATTTCTAAAACAAGTAGCTAAGCCATTTTTTAGGTCAGCCCAATTTTTGTCCATTTTTGGCTCGTAGCCGTTTTCTCCAGTTTGACCTTAAATTAATTCCTTAGAAGGCAAACACCTCCAAAAATGGACGATTTGTCAATTTTTTCTGTGTAATTTTTTTACCAAAGGCGTTTCCGATATTGACATTACCACCATCGTCTTTCTAGTGTTAAGATAAATACTCTGTACTCTCAGAATGAAATCCTGATACAATTTGACCTAATAAGGTCAGATTGAATACCTGACCGGAAAATTTGACTGAATGAACATAAATAGCTGAACGCAAGGTAGCCTGGCAGAAAATAATACTATGTTACATGTCGGTCTGTGCTCATAATCTTATACAACATACACTTATATGTTGGAAAGATTCGTGTATTTCCTAGGCATTCTATAAAATGCCTGAAAATCAGGCATTCTTTAGAATGCCTAGGGATTCTATAGAAGGTCAGGTAGGTGGGTCAGGCATTCTATAGAATACCTAGGGATTCTATAGAATGCCTGGTCAGTCAGGTATATATATATATATATATATATATATATATATATATATATATATATATATATATATATTTGTTATTTATCTAAAGTGTGCTGTCTTGAAACATTTTTTTATTCTTCGTGTTCTAGTTGAAATGAAGATGATCCTGAGTCGTTTTGAGTCAATGTACCTGAACAACAGAGAGCATGGTAGTTCCTTTTGATTGTGTGACATTTACCGGTGTTGTTGAATTGTTGTGCTCCGGAGGCCTGAGCTATGGCTGTGTTGAAATGTGCATAGGAAGCAAAGAAGAATGCCAATCGCCAATACATCTGACCGTTTCCAGTTCGTGTTAGTTGCGATCCTTTACAACTTACTTACTACTGAGTGACGATAACAAATTTAAGACATTTTTGCTTCATCTCTAAATATGTACATATTTAATGCGCAATGCAAAGGCAATGCGCAATGCGCCGCCACTGTTCAGATGGCGGAGGCAGCTCCCGATCACAGCGCGGAGATAGATGGGCTACGAAACGAGGTGGCCCAACTACAGGCGGAGCTGGCCGCGGCTAAAGCGGACTGAGCCAGTTCAAGTAACTCAGCAGCGCCGGGGCCAAGCGAGCAGCCAACAGCCGACGAGGGCGACATCCTCGAGCACCTCCTACGTCTCGAGTCGCCGCTACAAGAATGGGCAACGGGCGACGACATAGACCGCCTGCTGCAAGAGGCGACGCACGGCGCCGATGGTGCTGTCTGGAGTGGAGCAGAGGAGGCGATGCGGATGACAATCGTCCCGGGTTCCCGCTCATGGGGAGAGGGGGGGGACTCGGACGACAGACGGCGCCAGGGGCGCTGGCAGGGTCAATCGATAAGAGCGACGGCTTTGGAGCTGCCATGGTCGCCCCGGGATACCCGACCCGTGGGCGGGCGCAGATGGCGGCCGCACAAACACAGACGGACGGCCGCACAAACACAGACGGCAGGGCGGTCGATGGTAGCGACGACCCTAGCGCAGCGCCGGGTCGGGCACTGCTCGCAATTCTGGGAGACTCAATCGCCCGAGACGCACCATGGCACGGCGGAGCTCTATGCCTGGCTCGGGGCGGCAACGCTTCGCGTGGCCAGGCAGATCGGCTGGAGAGAAACATTCGAGCTGGTTTAGATCTCTACAAAAAAAAATGACAGGCAAGCGCGAAAGTAGAACAATGATCACAAACATCAACTATCGATGACATCAACTAGCGCGAAAGTAGAACAATGATCACAAACATCAACTATCGATGACAATTCATTGCGATAGTCATTATCCAAAAATCCAAAAGGCAGCATCGCAAGAGTTGGTCTTAACCACGTGGTAGGTAAAAGAAAACCATGTCAGAAAACGCCAAGAAGAAGACCACCACTGTTCTCCTAAAGGGGCGTGAGGAAATCAGAACAAAAGTCATACATCAATCACGCAAGGCGAACAATCTTGGCAAAATAAGCGATGCATCGCTCTGATGACACCGCAACCAACATGACGAGTGTTCGTGTGGTATCGAATATGACACTGGTAGTGAATGATGTTACTGCTACGCATGATTCAGACTATGACTGAATGGAGTTGCCTCAGGCAGGATCGAATGGGTCGATGATGTGATGAGCGACCAATCAGGCAGGATCAAATGGGTTGATATCATGAGCAATCAATGGGACATGC